GGAGAAGGAGAACACACAGAATAACTCAGGTAATGGCAGGTGCTATGAAATCCATAAAAGAGGTGATAAGACAGCAGGGTGGGGAAGGGAAGGGTCACCTCATGTCTGGGGATCGGGAAGGTTTCTCCGAGAAGGTAATGTGTGTGCTGGCACCTGAAGGGCAAGAAAGAGCCAGACACAAGCAGAGCAGAGCACCACAGGTGGAAGGCACGGCAAGGGCAAAGGCCTGGGGTAGGTTTGTGCTTGATAAGTTCTCAGTGTGGTAGGAGCACACGTGGCTGGGCCATGGGGTGTGAGGCACAGGTTGATGGAAGTTGAGGTCAGAACAGCAGGTGGCAGTTGGATGGCAGAAGCCCTCCTTGGCCAAGGTGGCAGCTGGAGGTGTGTGCTTGAGACAGAACTTGCCACTGGTGTGCCGTCAACCGATAGCCTCCAGCAGCAGCCCTATGGGAGTGGCCAGTGTTGTAACTTAGGGCATGGGGCTAAGCCTCCACTTGCAGTGTGGCATCCCATATGGGCACCAGTTCAAGTCCCGGCTGCTCCTCTTCTGATCCAGCTCTCTGCTATGGCCTGGGAAAGCAGTAGAGGATGGCCCAAGTGCTTAGGCCCTTGTACCCACGTGGGAGACCCAGAAGAACCTCCTGGCTCCTAGCTCCTGGCTTTGGATCGGCTCAGCTCTGGTCACTGTGGCCATGTGGGGAGTGAACCAGCAGATGGAAGACATTTCTCTCTCTTTCCCTCTCTCTGTCTGTAATTCTACCTCTCAAATAAATAAATAAAAACTTAAAAAAGGCCATAACCAGAGTAGAATCTGAGTACAGCTAAAGACTCACTGCGCCTGAGACAGGAGGGTGTTTTATTTTGGTGGCGAGGCAAGAATCTGCTGCGTTGCAGAGAAGCAGGAGCTGGCGGTGAAGCCAAAGGGCAGCCCTCAGAAGTAGATACACAGAGCTGCCACGTGACCTGGCCGTCCTACTCCTAGTGGCTTCCGGGAAGAAATGGAAACCCAAGTCCACACAAGATGCCCACACAGATGACCACGGCAACGCTTTTCCTAAAAGCCAGAACTGGAACCAAATGTCCATCATCAGCTCAGAGTGCAGCAGGTGGTTGCAGTGTGCCTTCCCTACTCCAGGTCCGCAGCCCCAGCCCGCACTACCATCTGGGAGCTGGCAAGCAGCCGGGCGCACGTTCCTGCACAGCGTACAGGTGGTGGCGGGGGCACAGACGCACATTCTGTGCTGTTAGGAGGGACCACGGAGGAGCAGGCAGGATGCGGATTCAGCCTGTGATGTCCATGTGACACAGGGTTCCCAGGAAGAGCAATCTATGGGTTCTGGAAATAAGAGGTGGAAGGAGCGGCCCCACTTATTCCCACTTGCACTGGCCCTGTGGGGACATGGTTCCTCATCCTTGCAACTCTGGGCTCTGCGGAGTTGCTGATCCTGATCCCCAAGGAGGGGCTCTCTTTCTGTAGGCCCAGCAAGGGTCCCCCTGAACCATGGGCCTCAGTTGCCTCAGAGGGCTGATTCCTTTTGTTCAAGGACCAGCAGGCAGGAAGAGGCGCACCTGGTTTGGTGGGGAAAGAACCCCGTTCAGCAGGAAGTGCGTGAGTCCCGCCAACATAGGGCCGTGGCCTGGACATGCCCGCCAGCAGGGTGACAGCCGCCTCCCTGCCTCTCACTGCCCCCTGCTCACTCCGCTGCGGCCACGCTGGCCGCCTTGCTGACGACTGCATGCACAAAGCACACCCAGGACCACGGTCGTCCAGTTTCAAGGGACAGAAGGTGTAAGGAAGATGGGAAAATACAAGAGGATCTCAAATGAGACATGGAGGGCGGGGGAAATCCTGTAACACTGTGCCAATCTGTGCAGAGCTGACTGCTGCTTGCACCTCTCACTTTAACCTGTGGCACAGGCTTTCTCACCTAGCACGTGTCGTCAGTGTTTTCCACTTACTGAGGAGAGTGACTGAGAAAGAAATGTGCGGGAATTAGAGAGAATGACCACCACGGAGACCCCAGAGCTCCACATTTGATAAAGATTGCTAATAATGGCAAACTTTCTCCAAGACATGTTGAATGCCTTTTCCATATTTATCTCATTTAACTCTCCTAATATTGTTAAGGAGATTTTATGATCCGCGTTCCACTCAGGAAGAAACATAGGATCAGAAAGGAGAAATAATTTTCCCAAGTCCCACCTCTTGTAAGTGGGACTTTATTTTTTATTAAAAGATTTTATTTATTTGTTTGAGAGGTAGAGTTACAGAGAGAGAGAAGGAGAGACAGAGAGGTCTTCCATCCTCTGGGTCACTCCCCAGATGGCCGCAATGGTCGGAACTGGGCCTTTCTGAGATGAGGAGCCAGGAGCTTCTTCCGAGTCTCCAAGATGGGTGCAGGGCCCAAGCACCTGGGTCACCTTCTACTGCTTTCCCAGGCCATAGCAGAAAGCTGCATTGGAAGAGGAGCAGCTGGTGTTAGACCCAGTTCCCATAAGGGAAGCTGGTGCCATAGGCGGAGACTTAACCTACTACATCCCAACGTGAGCCCCAAGTGGTCCACTTGAATGCAACTCTGAGTCTGCAACTTACATCATTTGGAAAACAATTTGCTTTCCTTTAAAAGAAATAGGTAATGATTTCTGTCATGCATTCAATTTATCCATTAATTCAGTGCCTGTTCTTCCTGACTTCTTTCTCTGCCTGGATTTTGCCAAGATATTGGAAGGGTCCTTAGCTTTATGGATTTCATAGTCCAATGGTTTGGCATGATGGTGACCCCAAGACTTCAGGCCCCCGAAGTGCCATCAGCACAGCAGGTGCTGAGACTGATCTTTTGGAAGAAATGGACAAAGGGGGCCGGTGCCGTGGCTCACTTGGCTAATCTTCCGCCTGTGGCGCCAGCACCCCAGGTTCTAGTCCCGGTTGGGGCGCCGGATTCTGTCCCAGTTGCTCCTCTTCCAGTCCAGCTCTCTGCTGTGGCCCGGGAAGGCAGTGGAGGATGGCCCAAGTGCTTGGGCCCTGCACCTGCATGGGAGACCAGGAGGAAGCACCTGGCTCCTGGCTTCGGATCTGCACAGTGTGCCGGCTGTAGCGGCCATTTAGGGGGGTGAACCAACGGAAGGAAAACCTTTCTCTCTGTGTCTCTCTCTGCCTGTCAAAAAAAAAAAAAAGAAAAAAGAAAAAAAGAAATGGACAAAGGGTATCTCTGGTATCTCTGTCCTAGATCCTGGAGTATATATTGTGCTTAGCCTTTGTTAGGGCACTGACTTTTTAGCCTCATCGATTCTGAAATGAGTGTACAGCTTGACCATCCCCTATGCTTGGGACCAGAGCTGTGTCAGGTTTTGGATTTTTAATAGTTGTGTATGCATAATGGCATAACTTGGGAATGGGACCCAAGTATAAGCTGGCAATTTGTTTACATTTCACAAGCACTTTACACACATTGTCCAGAAGTAATTCCACACAATGTTTTCAGGCACCTTGCGTTTGAATGCGATTGTCACATGAGGTCAGGTGTGGAATTTTCCACTTGTGGTGTCATGCCCAGGGCCCAAAAAGTTTCATATTTTGGTTTAGGGATGTCCATCCTGTACTAAAAATAGATTTCTTGTCAACTGGTTGCAATTCCAAGTTGAAAACATGTGTGAAAATGCTTGGAAAACTGTAAGATACAACAAAGAGGAAAGAACTTCGTTTTATGCTAAAAAAATTCAAACATATATTAAGAGCAAATAGTAAAGTAAACCCCAAATATTCACCAGCCAGCTACACCACTTGTCAGCTCAGGGTCGATCAGATTTAATGCGTAGCCATTCCTTCCCACCATCACCTGTTTCTGGGTAGCAAATCCTTGGTGGTCTATTTTTTCCTTTCTTTCTTTTCTTTTCTTTTTTTTTTTTACAGGCAGAGTGGACAGTGAGAGAGAGAGAGACAGAGAGAGAGACAGACAGACAGACAGAGAGAAAGGTCTTCCTTTGCCATTGGTTCACCCTCCAATGGCCACTGCGGCCGGCACACCGCGCTGATCCGAAGCCAGGAGCCAGGTGCTTCTCCTGGTCTCCCATGGGGTGCAGGGCCCAAGCACCTGGGCCATCCTCCACTGCACTCCCTGGCCACAACAGAGAACTGGCCTGGAAGAGGGGCAACCGGGACAGAATCTGGCGCCCCTACCGGGACTAGAACCCGGTGAGCCGGTGCCGCAGGCGGAGGATTAGCCTAGTGAGCCGGGGGGCCGGCCTAGTCCTTCCTTTCTGTTATCAAATATCCAGTTTGATGATGTGGTCCAGCTCCCCCACTACCTCAGGGCTGTCGCCTCCTTCCCCCGATGACCTCAGAGCTGTGGCCTTCCTCCTCTGACTACCTCAGAGCTGCGGCCTCCCTCTTCTGACTACCTCAGAGCTGTCACCTTCCTCCTCTGACTACCTCAGAGCTGCGGCCTCCCTCCTCTGACTACCTCAGAGCTGTCGCCCCGCTTCCCCGATGACCTCGGAGCTGTGGACACACCCTTGCACTGCACCTGCCTGCTACACGGGTTTCCACCTACACGCTGCCCCTCACCCATGTTCCGCGGCAGCCCTGGGCCCGCGGTGCCTCACTTCTGCCCGGCGGCGCCCACGCGACCTCTTCCCCCGGCCCAGGGCGCCTGCCCGCGTCCCGGGACCGGGCCAAGGGCTAGAACTCCAGGTCTGGAGTCGGATCCCGTTCCGCGCGACCCCCGGCGAGGCCCCGCATCGCTCCGTGACCGCGTTCCCAGGGTCCCAGGGAGGAAAAAATGAGTTTCCATGGAGCCCATCAGCACTGCCCGCGGGCACTCAGCCAGTGCTCCTTGGACTCGACTCTCATTTTCAACCAAGCACTCATAAAGGGGCGCCTCGGGTTCTGCAGTTTGTCGTGCTGTCGTGGCGTTCGGAAGGCAGCAGAGCTCGGACCCCACACCACTTCCGCGTCCCGCGCCCGGGTCGGCCCCTTTAAGGAGGGCAGGCCCACGTGGCCCAGCAGGTCACATGGTCCGCGGGACAACATGGCTGCGCCCGCGTTGGGGTTGGCTCGTGGGTTCCCGGTCGGGCTCCGTCGCGGTCGCGGTCGCGTTCGCGTTCTCCTGCTGCCGCTGCTCTCGCTGCTCTGCGGGGCGGCGGGGAGCGAGGAGGCCGGGGCCGGGGCGGGCACGGCGACCCTCGCGGGCTCGTGCGGTTGCGGCGCGCCGCAGCGGTCCGGGGCCCACGGCAGTGCGGCGGCCGCGCACCCGTACTCGCGGGAGGCGAACGCCCCGGGCCCTGTCCCTGGAGAGCGGACGCTGGCGCCCACCAAGGTGCTCCTTGGGTTCCTCGGAGTGGGTGGGGGTGCTCGGGCCGGCCCGGGCGGGGCGCGGCGCGGCGCTGGCCGGAAGGCAGGTGAAGGTCTCCCGCCCTTGGAGACGTGCACCTGCGGGTCCGGTCTGACCGGGAGCCGCTGCTCCGCGCCCCGCACCGGAAGACGGGCTGGGCCTCGGGCTCTGCGCGCTTCTGCACTTTGAGGTTCCTGTGCCTCCCTTCTTCTTTCTCGCTCCTGCTTCCTCCTCCCTCCGCGCTGCCCTCTGGACGGAGACCTCACTGCCGCTCCTGGGCTGTGGAGAAGCGAGGACCCTGGGGACGCTGTCTCCGCCGCCCCACTTCTCTGTGGCCTCCTGCGGCGGACTCCGCCCCTTGAGGGCCAGGCCGGTGCTGTCATCCTGCTGTCCTTAGTACCGCCCAGGCGGGACAAGCTGACAGTGAGGGTCACTGCTGTGTATCTGTGCCTTTCACGTAGTGGGGTGTGTTAGGGTCTCGCTTACATACACGGTAACACCCTGCCAGGGACTTGGGCCTGGCGTGTTTGTGCCGACAGGTTGTGGGGCTGGAACCCGGGCTTCCCACTGTGGAGCGAGTACTCCTTTCTGTACGCCTGGTGCAGCTTGCTCCTTTTCCAGCCCACCTTTCTTCGCTCTCGGTTTACTCTGACCCACGTCCAGAACCCAGGGGAGCGATACCCACCCCTCCCCCTTACCTGAATGCCTCCCCTTCTCCGCTCCGTGTTTGCACCGGCCGCCTCCGTAGTTTGTGTGCACTCTGACCCCGCGCTTGCTAAAGGTGCTGGTCTGTGCGATTTAGTATCTCAGCTGCAGAGTCAAGGTGGCAGTACCTGAACTCCTTGTTTCTCCATATCCTGTGTGGTTCTTGGCCTTTCATTTCCTCCTGTTACTCCTCGGAGGGCGCTCTGCACCCTTGGTATGGTGAGGCGTCTTAGTTGCTGTTTCAGTGTATATTGGCCATACTTTATTTTAATTTCTCTCTAACTTGTGTGGTTACAGATGATCATTCTCTCTTTCTAAGGAAAAAGGGCCTGTGTCTGTTTGTCTGCCCTGTAGATAACAGGGCAGCTGTCTTAATTGCATATATGAGGGTATTTCAAAAAATTCATGAGAAAATGGAATAAAAAGATAAGTTTATTTTAGTGCCAAAAAGATTTGAAACCATGCATAGTGTGGAAAAAACCATGCTTGGATTTCAAAAGTTTTTGCCACCGAAATAAACTATCTCTTACTTCTATTTTCCGTGACTATTTGAAGCACACTTTCATACATATTGTGTCAAAAACCTGCCCAGAGCCTTCTGGCCAGTACTGAATACTCTTCATTTTTAAACTCGCTATCTTTCTGTATGCTCCTGAGGAGGATGTAGGTGCAAGCCTGTTTTGAATTACATTTATAAAATGCTGTTGTTCATCTCTAGCGAGTGATTTTGTGTTCTGACTGGATGCCGTGCAGGTCATCCGTGACCAGCTTGTGTGTTCACTTCCGGTAATGTTTGCAGGTGTCCCAAAGCATTGTGAAGTTTATGGCTGATGAGGAGGTAGCTCACAAGTCCTCAGGAACTGCTTCAAAAAAGGGTTATTTATTTAATTTATTGGAAAGACAGAGTTACAGAGGGAGAGAGACAGATAGACATCTTTCATCTGCTGGTTCCAAATGGCAGCCAGGCCTGGGCTAGGCTACAGCCAGGAGCCAGGAGCTTCATCTGGGTCTCCAGGTGAGCGGCAGGGCCCATCACCTGCTGCCTTCCCAGTTGCATTAGCAGGGAGCTGGAAGCAGAGCTTCTGGGGCTTGAACCGGCACTCAAGTACAGAATGCTGGTGTTACTGGCAGCAGCTTAACCTGCACCACAGCGCTGGCACCCCCCCCCCCCCCAGGACTGTTAACCTGCTGGTTGAGCTCTTGTTACCAAGGTGAGAGACTTCATAGGACACAGCTTTTCATCGCTGTTTTCCTTGGTTTCAAATATTTTAGTTCGTATGCAGATGACCTTGGTCTAATTCTGACAAGCCATTCTAAATCAAGGAAACCAAGACTTCTGGGGAGGTAAACAATAGTAGATCTACTCCCCCTCTTTCTGTTTACTTATTTTTAAAGATTTACTTACTTATTTGAAAGGCAGAGTTACACAGAGGGGGAGAGAAGAGCCAGAGAGAGAGATCTTCCATCCTCTGGTTTGCTTCCCAGAAGGCTGGAAGGGGCTGGGATTTTGAAGTCAGGATCTAGGGTCTTCTCTGGGTTTCCCGTGTGGGTGGCAGGGGCCCAAACACTTAGGCTGTTTTTTCCCGTTGCTTTTCCCAGGCTGTTAGCGGGGAGCTGGATCAGAAGTGTAGCAGCTCAGACACCAGCCAGTGGCCCTGTGAGATGCTGGTGTCGTAGGCAATGGCTTTGCCTGCTATACCACAGTGCTGATCTCTTTCTCTTCTATTTGATTTAATTCAACAGGTGTTTATTTGACACTCATAAGACTGTTCTGTGTGCTGGGCATACAGAGAAGTAAAGACTTTGTTCTCTTGTGACACTGAGCTCTCTCGCTCTCTCGCTGGCTGGCTGTCTCTGTCACACAAACTGTGTCCCTGTGGTGACAGAGCTCCAGGAGGAGTATGTATGGAGGGAGAAAGGATTCGTTCTTCCTGCACGTCAGCTTGTTCCTTGAGGAAAGGGACACATTTGAGGCAGCCCTGGGGGGGAACATCTGCAGGAGCTGGAGATGTCAACTTGGAGGCATTCCAAAAAGTGTAGCATCAGCATGTGAACACCGGGAAGCACATGGGGTGTTTCAGGAAATGGAATGAGTAAAGGTTTTCTGGGAGTGACATGACACCTGCTGATGTCACACTTTTAAAGTGTGGAATGTTTTGCCTTTTAATGAGCACTTGGCAGGATGAAGAACACAGAGCAGTAAGTAGCACTGACTTTATCCTCAAGGATTTTACAGTTTTACTGGGAAGGTAATGACAGTAAGAATTGCGTGGGAAAAAATATAGATATTTTCAAATTTAGCTTAAATTTTGTTTAAAAAAACAATTCTCCTTGAGAAAATTATCCTAGCAGTTTGCTACCTGGCTTCTTGTTGTGTAACAAGGGAGCAAGATGTCTTAATCTTGCATCTTTCAAAGAGTCTGGAAAGGCATTTGGGAGGACAGGATGCTGGCGTTGTCAATGCCTGCCTGTGTGCACGGGTAGGATTGCCATGCTGGGTGTTTCTGACCAGCCTCATGCTTCTCTGGGCCTCAGAGGGCCAGTGAGCGTCGTCTCTTCCGTGAAAACTGTCTTTCAAGAAGTGTTTTTTTTATTTTTTATTTTTTATTTTTTTAATCCTCCGAGTTTCCATAGCACTTTTTGTTGTTGCTTGATGGCAGTGTATATATTTTATTTTTAAAAAAGATTTATTTATTTATTTGCAAGGCAGAGTGAGAGAGGAAGATCTTCCATCTGCTGGTTCGCTCCCCAAATGGCTGCATCAGCAGGGCTGGACCAGACTGAAGCTAGGAATCAGGAACTCCGTTTGGGTCTCCCACATGGATGGCAGGGATACAAGCACTTGGACCGTCATCGGCTGCTTTCCCAGGCGCATTATCAGGATTAGAAACAGAGCAGCCTGGGGCCAGTGCTGTGGCGTAGCAGGTAAAGCTGCCATCTGCAGTGCCAGCATCCCATATGGGCGCTGGTTCAAGTCCTGGCTGCTTCACTTCTGATCCAGCTCTCTGCTATGGTTTGGGAAAGCAGGAGAAGACGGCCCAAGCCCTTGAGCTCCTGCACCCACCTCGGAGACCCGGAGGAAGCTCCTGGCCCCTGGCTTCAGATCAGCGCAGCTCCAGTTGTGGCCATTTGGGGAGTGAACCAGTGGATGGAAGACCTCTGTCTCTGCCTCTCCTTCTCTCTTTCTAACTCTGACTTTCAAATAAATTCATGAATCTTAAAAGAAAAAAAAAAAAAAAAAAAAGAAACAGAGCAGCCTGAACTGGAACCCATGCTCCCCTATGCGACCCTGGTGTTAAATCACTTTCTTAACTGAGTTACACAGAGAGAGAAGAAAAGGCAGAGAGAGAGAGAGAGAGAGAGAGAGAGTGAGAGAGGTCTTCCACCCAGTGGCTCATTGCCCAAGTGGCTACAACAGCCGGAGCTGCGCCGATCTGAAGCCAGGAGCCAGGAGCTTCCTCCCAGTCTCCCATGTGGGTGCGGGGGCCCAAGGACTTGGTCCATCTTCTACTGCTTTCCCAGGCCACAGCAGAGAGCTGGATCAGAAGAGGAGCAGTCAGGACTCAAATTGGCGCCCATATGGGGTGCTGGCACTGCAGGCGGCGGCTTTACCCACCACGCCACAGCGCTGGCCCCAGGGCTCGTTTTGATCTCTGTGTCCCCCCAGATGTCTTATGCAGTGTAAGCATCTTTGAATTGAACCTGGGTGCTCCATTGCGGTACACAGGCAGTTCTTCTTATTTAATTTCTTGAATGACTTCTTAAAAAAAAAAATTTATTTATTTGAAAGAGTTACAGAGAGAGCAAGAGGAAGAGACAGAGAAGTCTTCCATCTGCTGGTTCACACCCCAAATGGCCTCAACAGCCAGAGCTGGGCCAGGCCAAAGCCAGGAGCCAGGAGCTTCTACCACGTTTACCATGTGAGTGCAGAGGCCCAAGGACTTAGGCCATCTTCTACTGCTTTGCCAGGCATGCTATCAGGGAGCTGGATTGGAAGTGGAGTAGCTGGGACTTGAACCATTGCCCATATGGGTTGCTGGCACCCCAGGTAGTGGCTGTACCCTCTACATCACAGTCCTAGCCCCTTCTTGAATGATTTTTTGCCTTTTTGGTGAAGAAAATATTGAGAAATTAACTTGGGAAAGAAAGGATGTTTGCTACTTTAAGAATTATTTATTATTTGAGAGACAGAACTCCTAGCAGCTGGTTCACTCTCCAGATGCCTGTGTTATTTTGGGGACTGAAGCTGAGAACTCCGTTCAGGTCTCCCATGTGAGTGG